AATATGATGAAAAACACTACAAAAACAGAAAAACAAAAACCCGAATCGAGATGAAAAGAAAGAACTCCACGTCGTGTGCCTTGTTTTTTGGTTTATACAAAATCGAACTTGATAATTGAAGCGAACACTCTTTAGAGACATTCAGCGTTCTTAATATTWGTAAATAAGTAATTTTTTTCTTATAACTATAAACAAAAATCAATAGYAAGTGCTTAACTCCAGTGTGTGCAAAACGAACTAAATAATATTCAAGAATAAATAAAGCAGCAAAGCAATGAATGAAATAAAGTGCTGGAAAGTGTTGTGTGTGCAAAGAACAGTTAAATCTGCTAGTCAAATATACATACATGCATATGCTAAATGGCATGTATAAGCAAATAAACATTATTTATGCGAAATGTGTGTAACAAGTGCAAACAAATGCCAAAAGTTGATCAAATTTCTATACTTCATCTACATCTGCGTCTTCGCCATCGCCATCGTCTTCGCCTTCGTTTTCGTCGTGTTTTACGTACAGTTTTTCGTTTTTTTGGCCAATTGCGTTGCCAACGCTGCTCACGTTGCCGTTTTTTCGTCAACGTCTTGCCCCTGCGCGCGCGCTCCCTTCTTGTCTTACACTATCTCTCCACTCCTTTCTACCTCCAATTGTCTTTCTCACTCTATCTGCCTCTCTCTGGCCTTAGTTGGTCTATCCCCCACGCATTCTCTTTTGTTACGCTCCCCAACACTGTTTACACAAGCGCCACGCAACAAAAGCCATAAAGTATATAAATACAAGAAATAAATAATATAAAATGAAAAAGAGTGCAATAAATACGGCATATATGCAATATATATTGGTTTATTCAAATATAAAATTAAAATTATTTTGTGTTATTAAGCCAAAAACTTTGCCAGTGCTAAGTATAGAATGCCAATCATGGCACAAAATAAACTTTACAAATGCATATACATAATACAAAAATAGTAAATAAATACAAATATCTCAACAAAACGCGCGCAAAATAATCGCATGTGTGTGTCTAGTGTCTGTGTGTTGATTTGCTGTTTAGCAACAAGATAAGATAATACAAATATACACTTATTTATATTATTTGAAATGGTGGCCATGTAGAATTTATTACAGTGCAAAGAAAGCATTAAAAATCATTGGTGCAGACGGCCGCCTACGTCTGTCTAATTAATTGCTCAATTTCAATTTAATTGCTCTGTGCCAGG